TGGAAATTGTCCAAAAAGCGCACAACACCAAAAAAATTTGAAACATTTTACCTTCAAATTTTTTTCAAAAATTTCTAAATGTTTTGGTTTTGTGCGCTTTTCAGACAATTTCCAGCATATTTTAATTTTTTAAAAAATTTCATAAATTTGATTCTTTCTTTTAAATTTTCACTGCTAGAACCATACAAGTACCGATCGCTGCAAAACTCGATCTAACACAGGCACGTTCTGTCTCACCCGATCTGTGCTTCAACCGGTCTCCCTCAAATACGATCTCTGCCTCACACGGTCTCTGCCAGACTTCGCATGTCTCAGAGGTTAGGTTAGGTTAGGTTATTTATGTTAGGTAGGTTAGGTTAAGTAGGTTAGGTTAAGTTAGGTTAGGTTAGGTTACGTTAGGTTAGGTTAGATCAGTTTAGGTTAACTTAGGTTATATTAGGTTAGTTTAGGTTAGCTTAGGTTAGTTTAGGTTAGGTTAGGTTAGGTTAGTTAGGTTATGTTAGGTAGTTTAGTGTAGGGTAGGTAAGGTTAGATTACGATAGGTTAGGTTAGGTTTTGTTAGGTTAGGTTAGGATAGATTAGGTTAGGTTACGTAAGGTTACGTCAGTTAGATTAGATTAGGTAAGGTTATGTTAGTAAGTTAGGTTATTTAGTTAGGTTAGGTTAGGTTAGTTTATATTAGGTTAGGTTAGGTTAGTTAAGGTTAGGTTAGTTTAGATTAGGTTGTATTAGGTTAGGTAGGGTCAGGTTATTTTAGTTAGTTAGGTTGTTTTGGGTTTGAGATGGACACGGCAGACATCGTGTCCGGCGGAGACTGCACAGGAAGAGACGGAGAGGCAGAGACCGTACCGATCAGGACATGGTCCGGTATAGAACAACGGGCTCGTCAGAGACTAGACACGGGAGTGAGCTGGTGTGGCAGAGATCGGCTTGTCAATGTCCGTGCTTCACCAGGTCTGCTTGAATTGGTCTCTGCATCACACGGTCTCTCCGTGTCTGGGTATAACTTGTTCATTGGAGACGTGACACTGCGGAGACCGTGTGTGGCAGATATAAGATGGAGAGTAGTTTGGAATGTTTTTCAAAATCTTCGAAAAATGAAAAAGTGATGGAAAATATCCAAAAAGCGCAAAAACCAAAAAAATTCAAAAATTCCAACTTTAAATTTTTAAAAAAAAATCGAAATTTTTTCGTTTAATACATGTGACACCCGGGTAGAACGGGCCCGTCGGAGACGTGACACTGCGGAGAGCGCGTGTGACAGACAAGGCGGAGAGTAATTTGGAAATTTTTCAAAATTTTCAAAAAAATCGAAAAATCAAAAACTAATGGAAATTGTCCAAAAAGCGCACAACACCAAAAAAATTTGAAACATTTTACCTTCAAATTTTTTTCAAAAATTTCTAAATGTTTTGGTTTTGTGCGCTTTTCAGACAATTTCCAGCATATTTTAATTTTTTAAAAAATTTCATAAATTTGATTCTTTCTTTTAAATTTTCACTGCTAGAACCATACAAGTACCGATCGCTGCAAAACTCGATCTAACACAGGCACGTTCTGTCTCACCCGATCTGTGCTTCAACCGGTCTCCCTCAAATACGATCTCTGCCTCACACGGTCTCTGCCAGACTTCGCATGTCTCAGAGGTTAGGTTAGGTTAGGTTATTTATGTTAGGTAGGTTAGGTTAAGTAGGTTAGGTTAAGTTAGGTTAGGTTAGGTTACGTTAGGTTAGGTTAGATCAGTTTAGGTTAACTTAGGTTATATTAGGTTAGTTTAGGTTAGCTTAGGTTAGTTTAGGTTAGGTTAGGTTAGGTTAGTTAGGTTATGTTAGGTAGTTTAGTGTAGGGTAGGTAAGGTTAGATTACGATAGGTTAGGTTAGGTTTTGTTAGGTTAGGTTAGGATAGATTAGGTTAGGTTACGTAAGGTTACGTCAGTTAGATTAGATTAGGTAAGGTTATGTTAGTAAGTTAGGTTATTTAGTTAGGTTAGGTTAGGTTAGTTTATATTAGGTTAGGTTAGGTTAGTTAAGGTTAGGTTAGTTTAGGTTAGGTTGTATTAGGTTAGGTAGGGTCAGGTTATTTTAGTTAGTTAGGTTGTTTTGGGTTTGATTAGGTTAGTTTAGGTTCGGTTAGGTTAGGTTATTTTAGGTTAGTTTAGGTTAGGTTTGGTTAGGTTATGTTATTTTAGGTTATTTTAGGTTAGTTTAGGTTAGGTCAGGTAGGTTAGGTTAGGTTAAGTTAGGTTGGGTTATGTTAGGTTAGGTTAGGTAAAGTTAGGACCTACACTGTCATACAGAGCACTATGCTGACAGCGATCGGGTGGGGAGAATTTTTGAAATTTTTCTAATTTTTTAAAAATTCAAAAAATGCTGGAAATTGGCCAAAAAGCTCACTCAACCAAAAAGTTTGGAAAATTTTACTTTCAAATTTTTAAAAAAAAATCGAAAATTTTTGGTTTTGTGTGATTTTCAGACAATTTTCAGCATTTTTTTATTTTTCCAAAAATTTTGAAGATAAGATTTTTTTTAAAATTTTCACTGCTAGATCCATACAACAACCGGTCTGCCAAACACGCTTTGTTTTACCCGATCTGTTTTTTAACCGGTCTCCGTTAGATACGATCTCTGCTTAACACGGTCTCTGCCAGACTCCGCATGTCTCAGAGGTTAGGTTAGGTTAGTTAAGGTTAGGTTAGTTTAGGTTAGCTTAGGTTAGTTTAGGTTAGCTTAGGTTAGTTTAGGTTAGCTTAGGTTAGTTTAGGTTAGCTTAGGTTAGTTTAGGTTCGGTTAGGTTAGGTTAAGTTAGGTTAAGTTAAGCTACAGAAATTGTCATACAGAGACAGGGTCCGTCAGAGTCAGGTTACGTCAAAGACCGGATGAAGCAGAGCACTAAGCTGACAGCGATCGGGTGAGGAGAATTTTTGAAATTTTTCCAAATTATCAAAAATTCATAAAATGCTGAAAATTGTCCAAAAACCTTACAAAACAAAAAAAATTCAAAAATTTCAACTTCAAATTTTTTTCAAAAATATCGAAATGTTTTTGTTTAATACGTTTTTCATGACAATTACGACGTTTTTCACATTTTTGAAATTTTTTAATTTTTTTTTAATTTTCATAGTCGATCAACCTCACACGATACGCCAGACACTATCTCCGGCACAGACCGTGTTCGGAAGAGGCTGAGGCGGGTAATGGCTTGGGGAGGCAAAGTCCAGTCACATCAGAGACGGTCAGTTATAAACTCGCCTTGTTAGAGACAGCACACACCACACACGCTGTCCGGCAGAGGTCGGTTGTGGCAGAGAATATCACATGTAGAAACGGAGAGGCAGAGACCGTGCACGTCAGACATGGTCCGGTATATAATGGGCTCATTAGAGACGTGACAGTGCAGAAACCGGTGTTGCAGAGATAAGATGGAGATTAGTTTGGAAAATTTTTAAAAATTTTCGAAAAATCAAAAAATGCTTGAAAATGTCCAAAAAGTGCACAAAACAAAAACAATTTCAATTTTTTTTTACAAAAATATCAAAAATGTTTCGTTTTATACGTCTTTTATGACATTTACGACGTTTATCAAATTTTGAATTTTTATTGTCGATCAACCACACACATGAAACGCCAGACACCGTGTTCGGTAGAGACCGGATGCAGAAGAGACTGGGAGAGGCATATTCCGGGCACATCAGAGACTGTCTGGTATAGACCGGCTTCTTCAGAGAACGGACACGGCCGACACCGTGTCCGGCATAGGCCGGGTGCGGCAGAGACTGGCATAGGCAGAGACCATGAAAATCAGAAACATGACCCGGTATAGAACGGGTTCGTCACAGACGCGACATGACAGAGACCGGGTGTGGCAGAGATCGGTTGGAGAGCATTTTGGGAAAAAATTCTAAACTGTCGAAAAATCAAAAAATGCTGGAATATGTCCTAAAGGGCACAAAACATAAACAATTCAAAAAATTCAACTTCAAACATTTTTTGAAAAATTTCGAAAATATTTCGTTTAACACGTTTTCTTTACAATTACAAAAATTTTCAATTTTTTTTTTAAAATTTCGACAGTCGACAACCACACAGACTAAACGCCAGACACCGTGTCCGGCAGAGACCGTGTTCGCAGAGACTGGTACAGGCAAAGAAGTAGGGACAGAACCCGGGCACATCAGAGACATGGTCCGGTATAGACCGGACTCATGAGAGACCAGACACGGCAGACACCGTGTCCCACCCTCATCACGCCAGCTTCAAGACATCATCACAGCGATTTCACGTTAATGTCAGACCTAGATCACCGTCAGGTTACACAAGTTGAGGTTAGGTTACATGAAATTATTTTAAGTTAGTTTAGGTTACATAAGTAGTATTTCAGGTTATCAGGGTGGTGAGCCTGAAGATGGCTGTCCTCTGGATTGTAGTACCGTGTAGTCTGGGACTTATCACTCTGATAATGGAGACAGCAAGGACCTCTGAAACAATGATAAACTTCTCCCACACTATATGGCGCTACAACCAAGGAGAAAGCCAACCTATTTTAGGTAAAGTTAAAATTTGGTATAAATCCATTACTCATAGTCTTCTTTTTTAGACAATTCAGAGACAATTTCCTGAAATATTATATATCTGTGAATCTTAGATAATAAACATAATTTAAATAAATATATGTATGCCTATTATTAATTTCAATGGCGGATATGTGTGCTGGAAATATTACTGGCAACATTTGCATATAACCTGAGATAAACTTAAAACATTTACATACTGTACAAAATAATGAAATTTAAATACCATGCTTAAATCTGCCCTGTAGATGATCAGTTTGCCCACACATGGCACTAAATGCCTTTAAAGGATTTTGTTAATATCCCTACTTTTGGCCAATAAATATTAATTTATACGATTTCTTTAGAGGCATGGACAATTTGAGAGCACCAAATAATTTGTTCATAAATGCAATTTTCTTAATGTGAAGACAATAATATTTACAATATTACTTACTGGAAGGCAACCATAGCTGTGTTGACAACAGCAATGTTGTAAATGGCATAGCTGATGAGCCGCGCCTCGTTATACAGCGATTCTGCATTCCGTACGTTGTAGCACACCTTTATTCCCCAAGACAGGAACAGTACCTCCCCTGCAAAAGTACATTATATCATATTTTGCTACAATCTGTCCTATATTTGTATTAATATTTAGCTTCTAAATGTAATCACAAATCAAAACATTCTTTATTTTAGCCATTAAAAATTGCATCAAGAATTTGCGGATTTTAGGAAGGCAAATGACTCATTTAAAAGAGAGGTGTTGCATAGCATTTTGATTGAGTTTGGAATATCAGAAAAACTTTTTACGTTAATTATGATGTGTATTGATGGGGTATCTAGTAGAGTTCATTTAGGTAAACTTCCGTTAGATCCTTTTCCCAGTGCACAATGACCTAAAACTGGAGGATGCTTTATTCCAATGCTTTTTAATTTTTCTCTAGAACAAGTTATCAGGAAGATCAGAGCGAATATGGAAGGGCTTGAACTGAATGGTCTGGACTAGGTATTTGTCTACGCTAATGACGTCAATTTGTGGGTACCACAACCAAGAATGCAGAAACTCCCCTACAGGCTAGCAAATGCAATAGGCATAGAAGTAAACGTAGACAAAAGTAAATACGTGGGTCTAATGTGGGACAAACATCAGCAATAACAGCATAACCTAATTATATGTAACACATCATTTGAAAAAGTTCAAAAATTTAAATATCTGGAAAGAACAATAACAAATAGATATGAGGTCCATTATGAAATTAAAAGTACAGTACATTAGGGGAAACCTTGCTTTTATTCAATCCAAAAACTGTTATCCAAAACACTAAAGATCAGGATATATAAAACAATAATTTTACCTCTTTTCTTGTATGGTTGTAAAACATGATCTCTTACCTGGAAGGAAGAATGTATTCGAAAACAAAGTGCTGAGGAAGATATTTGGACCTGGGAAGGATGAAATAAGTGGGGAATCTAGAATGCTGCCTAACGAGGAGCTGCATGAATTGTGTAGGTCACTTAGCATAGTGAGGATAGTGAAATCTAGGAGGGAAGTGGGGTGGGGGGGCAAGGTTTGCATATAGAATTTTGGTAGGGAATCCTCTTGGAAAACAACCACTGGGCAGACCAAAAAGGATATGAGAGGGCAACATCACGATAAATCTTAGGAAGGTGCACTGTGAGGATGGCCAATTGATGGAGATGGCTCAGGATCATAGCCGGTGGCGGGCTTTGGTGTTGTCGGTGTTGGACCTGCGGGTTCTGCTACCAGGGAGTTAGTTTATAAATTGCACAGCCACGTGACTTTGTTAGTTTCCCAAGGTTTTTTCATATGCTGTATTGATTTCAGATTTAATGAACTACCGACTTCATTTTATTATTATGAATGGTGGATTGGAGGAGCAGACAAAGAATCAGCTATGCTTTGATTCCAGCAAATTAGCAAGAAATATGACGGGAAGCCTAAACTTTGAGAGCCAGATGCAACAATATTAGAGAAGAAATCTAGTTCATTCTAATATTTATTAGGCACAACTGTAACATCTGTGACATCACCAAATAATCTTCTACATTATTCTATGTAAAAATGAATCTTGCAATTGTTATTAACTACCTAATTAACTTCTTGGGGCAGATTAACTATTGAAAAGCTAATAATGGCTTAGTTATTCAAAATATTTCCTAAATTTTATAGAATCCGAAGGTTCAAGAGCCAATCAGTCCACTGGTTCCTATCCTGAACCATATGAATCGAGTCCACAACGTCCAAGCCTATTTCACCGATCTACATTTTTTTATTCTCCTACTACCAATACGTTGGTCTTCAAAGTGGTCTCTTCCCTTTAGAATTTATCCAAATTTTGGTTTATGCATTTCTCATCTCTCCCATTTGTACTGCATGTCATGTTTATTCCATTTTCCTTGAACTGATGGTCATAGGGCATCCGCGGTTAACCGTGCTCACCAATGGCCAAGCTGTGGTCCCACCAATTGTAGGAGCACTGGTTAAAGCGGAGGCCCGCCTGATCACGGATCTGCTCTGCTGTGGGGGGTGCACTCAGGGTCCAGGTGCCCAGGTAGATGAGCATCACCAGCAGGATGGGGAACATCCACTGCAGCAGCTGTTTATCTGTGAGCTTCACCTTGTGCGCTGATTTTACTCGATAAGTTAGTGACACCCTGCAAGCACAACGTAACTAAATTTAACTCCTCTGTTTTTAAAGTAGCCAACCCAGTAATTTGTTGCTATGTTTCTTCCATGCACAATTAAGTGGCTACTTGATAAATTCTCAAAAGTTTGCCTGAAGTGTACAAATGGTAAGATAACTGATTAATAATTTGAAATGACAGAAAAAAGTGATCTCGGTCTATTTTAAGGTACTATTGTAGCATACAATTGGAGGGACGGTTGAAAAATACCGGGAAACATCGGTCACAAAGTTCATATTCAAATCTGTCCCCCATCCTTTCACAACAAAAACCACTACTCAATTAAACTCTGTGCCAGTTCAATACAGCTCACATCTATGTAAGATCCAAAGTTTTGGAGAAACATATGTCCTCTCGCTATAGTCAGAATGTTTTTCTAAAGCATCGATACCTATCAGCCCCAATTTTAATGCTCACCGCCAAGTCTTCATGAGAAGAGCTGTGTAGGTTATGCAGAAACCAAGATGTCGGCTCCACTTAGTTGCAATGCAAGAATAGAGATCCAACACTGGGAAAATGGCTGCCATCTGCAATGGGAACACTTGAGTGAATTACAAAATAAAGGGGAAATAAGGAAATGTTCAATTTATTATTCAATTAAATTTTATTATTGTTTTCACAGCAATTAGCACTCGTACAATACGCTTCTCACAATAAATTAAAGAATAATATTAACTATCATCGTCAGGTATCTTTAAATTAACAGACAAAACATGAATAGAAGCTTGATGGATCACTAAATCAACTTAGTCATTATCTGTGACTTTCATAAAATTATATCAGCAAATGGAACAATAATTTAAATTCAAAATTATTTTTCTTAAACTTCCGATGTATCACCTTTAATATGACACAATGACTGGAAATGATTTTATCCATCAGTTGGGAAGCAAATGTTAAGTATGAACTGTACCTCAAGATACATAATAGCACAACCAAGAAGTGTGATGCCCAGAAAGATAGGGCTGGCCACCTTGAACACCTTGATCTTGCGGTGCTGGTAAACATAGCCAACTAGACCCAACGTGAACACCACACACGAGACTGATACAGCTAGAAGCGAGATCCTGTAACATAACCTCACCATTACATGAAACCTGCAAACATAAGTTTTACAGATATAAATAAATTCTTAAATCTAAGTTTACCAGAAAGAATATGTTGTTCATGAAATTGTCGGAAATACAGGGTCTCCAATTTATGAGGCTGCGGTCGTGCTTGCATTGCGTGGTCGGCCGGGGCTCTGTTGATGTGGGCGGGAGGTGTGCCCGTTCTTCCGGTGGGTGACCGGCGAATCAGTTTCAGTGCCGCTAGTAACAGCGGACTACGAATATTTCTCGTCACTAATACATGTTATTACATTAATTGTTCTTACCTTAAATCACAAAAGATGTTCAAAGTGACTTCCTTGTCCTTGCAAGCAAGCTTCACATCTCGTTAACATGTTTCGAAATACTCGACGAAGCTCTTCTTGGGAAATTGCCGAATATTTTCTTAAAGTGCTTCTGCAGTGTGCGGATAAATTGTGAACGTTATGTAAATTTAATAGTTAGACCCTTTTTCCAAGAAATGACCGATGCAGAAAAGACTTACGGTTTCTTCATGCAAGACAATGCTACAGCTCGCAGAGCTCATCGGTCGATGTCAGCATTAAGAGAAGTGTTTGGTGAACAAGCTATCGATCAGTGGCCTCCGCTTTCCCCAGACTTAAACCCGTGTGATTTTTACCTGTGGGGCATGCTGAAGAACAAAGTTTATGCATACAATCCGCACACTGCAGAAGCACTTAAAGAAAATATTCGGCAATTTCCCAAGAAGAGCTTCGTCGAGTATTTCGAAATATGTTAACAAGATGTGAAGCTTGCTTGCAAGCACAAGTAAGTCACTTTGAACATCTTTTGTGATTTAAGGTAAGAACAATTAATGTAATAACATGTATTAGTGACGAGAAATATTCGTAGTCCGCTGTTACTAGCGGCACTGAAACTGATTCGCCGGTCACCCACCGGAAGAACGGGCACATCTCCCGCCCACATCAACAGAGCGCCGGCCGACCACGCAATGCAAGCACGACCGCTGCCTCATAAATTGTAGACCCGGTATATGTCTCATTTTACGTTAATTCAACAGGTGAATTTAATTTAATACCTACGGTAATATCTACTTCACATTTTTATATATTTAGATATTGTATAAATGATCAAGACTTTTCTGAGAACCACCAAATAAATTTCTTAATGCAGACTTCTGCTCCTCCTCTCCCCCAAAAAAACAAACATAAACATCGTCAAATCCCCAGCTTTTTAAGAAACAATAAAATACAATTTCAATTTTCTATATAACTGCCACACAACGACCAGACTGGAGCGTAGGTTATATTCGAGAGGCACAGGAAGTATTGACTGCTCTTGGTATCAGCTGTCCACGGTTTCCACTGTACTTCCTGTCGAGTACCGTATAGTGTATTAAAATGACCAGCTTCCCACAGATAACCGTCCACTGCTCTCACAGAAAATATATATTGGGTTCTTGGTATGGAAGACTTTATTTAATGAAACTGCATTTTATTTAAGCCCCTGCTCTCTCTGTGAGTTTTTGCATGCGTCACAAATCGCATACTATCAGGTAAGGAATCCAGGGTCGTATTGTGAAAGATAACTTAGCCACAAGAACTGCGAGTGATCTGGACCTGAACCAGTGACTGAGGTTATCTCTTTCTAACGAACCGAGCTGAGTAGGTGCCCTTTTCCCATTTCTCCTGTGGATGGAAACGTCCAGTTTCCGAAACGTTGTGTTCTTTTGGTCACCAGACACTGGACAAATTGCAAGAAATTGTTTTCCTGAAGTTAAGGGGCATTTATTATAACTCAGCATAATTTTTATAACCTCGATGTAAGATCATATATTTGAGATTGCACTAAATTAAATTAAATTATGTTGTTTATTTAAGCAAAATAAGTAGGGTTTTTATTTTGTTGTCATACAACATAACTTGATTTTAATTGCTATATGTTGCTTTGTTACATTTTTCAATACAAATATTTCTTTAAAGTACTACTGCAGATTCTTCCGTCATACTTCACAGGAATTTTTGATGATAATATAATTTAGAATCATCATAATTATCCAATAATTTCCTTTCCGTGATGGCTCACCTGAAGGGCCAGTTGTATGTGGCCAGACAAGGCGCATTCGTGTGACAGGCCTCACATCCAGGAGCACACTTGAGGCAGCGGAACATTTCCTGGTACAAAGAACTCACGTTCTGCTCCCGCTCCATCCACGCGGCTGTAACAAGGGGTACCTGTCAGTCTTAAAGGGTTCGCAACACAATATCATATTTGGGATGCAAAATATACTGTTTACCATATAGTAGGTAAGAATTTATAGAACATGATCATACGCATTATTATTGCCTGAACAACTACAGGAAATACAAATATATATTATGTGGTCAAATATGGTTTTGAACAGCTACTAAGTACAAATAGTGCCCTACTTATGATTATACACAGTACTGAATGTTATAGAACAACAAATGCCGTTCTTGATTTCCTGAACGAACATCTCCATGATAAAGCCGTCTCTAATCGATATCCTGAACGACTTGGATTTGGATGTACATGGCCACCATAGTAACCTGTTTTGAATCCTTGTAATTATTTGCTGTGGGGATTCCTGAAGTACAGCGTCAACAGGAATAATCTACACGAATCCCTAAATGCAGAAAGGGTATAACTCCAAAATTCAAAACTTTTCAGGAAACAAAAAAAAACTGTCTGTGATCAGTATAACTCAAGATAAAGACTTGAATTTTGGAATAGAGAGCTGCAATAAATTTACATCTTTTTGCCAAATTTCAGATTTTTTTATCCCATAGTTTAAGCTCCACGTGGGTCAATATTTGTTGGAGTTATGCCCTTTCTGCAATTAACGCTGTTTTAACAGGGTAAATGGGCGAAAAACAAAGGAAAACTCACTGATACATCATGGGAATTAATTTTTTTAAATAGAAATACAAACATAGAATAATTCGAAACATAGAAATACAAATTGTAGAAGAAATGACGTTTTCGTATTGATTTTTCTTTAATTAAATTAAATTTATTTTGTTAGTAATAATAATTTCAATATTATTCATCATCATCTTTGGGTTTCTCACAGGTGGGCCAAGAGACAATTTCATTCCAAAAGTCGGATACCTTCTAGTTTAGTTTTTTGGATTGGAATTCACTCTTTTCGAGCTGAATTTTGCAGCATGTTCATAGGTTTTTTTTTATTATTCCTTAATTTAAAATGGTAATACCCCCAATAAACTATTTAGTCAAAATGACTGCAGGGTCCTTACTCTCGAATTCTTCATAGTGATATTACGGCAACAAAAAGAATTCCTTTACCATAACTTGGTTAGCGCGAGAGGCAGAGGAGCTTTTATAGCTTGTTTCAGTAAGTGTTGAAGCAGTTTCTTTTATAAAATTTAGACCACCAGTCTTTAAAATTTATCGCTTCTGCGGGCTGAGTAATACATTTTACTTTGAATTTGTCGGGTTTATTGCAGCAGGTTTCTATAATATTGACATATTCGTCAATGGTGTAGTCTCTCTCGGTCTTCCGCAATTTGCGTTTAATTATGTCAAAATCTCTAACGCATGGGAGAAAACTGTGCCCACGCATTGGGTAGACAAATTTAATAGTTTTGAATTTTTTAGTTCAACAAGAGCCATGAGGAATCTGAATATAGTATTATTTTTATTTTGGCCTGCACAGTTGTCACAATAGAACTGCAGTTGTTCCACTTCTTCTATAATTAAAACCAACTGTAGAAACTGCCAAACAGCAAAATGTAGAAGAAAATATGCATCGACTGTTATCTAATAGACGTTAAAAATAATAATAATAATTCAATTCAATTTATTTATTAAAGTGCTTGACAAAAGCCAAAAAGGCCAATAACAGCCAAGCACTAACAACAACAAAAACATTACAATACAAAAGCAAACAAACAATGAACTTAATATATAAATGTACAATATTAATAATGATAATAATTCAATTCATTCATTTATTGCAAAATAATTAACAAGTAAATGATTTCCTCAGTTCAACTGTTCATTATAAGTAAATGGGCTAGAGGAAATTTGTAAGCAAAATATACTCCTCGTTGAAGATGTCGATGCGCTGACAGACTGCATTGGCAGCAGAAACAAACCTAAACAAGGGACTGGCCTTAAAACTGCGATGAACGAAAAGCGTGCAGTAGTCTCTGATGGATCTGGGGGGAACGCGCAAACAAACTGAATCCAAAACGGATGGGCAGCAAATTTTGCCTTTAAATATATTAATGAGAAACAGAGTATCAAGATGGCTCCTCCACAGGTGGAGTGAAAGAAAATTTAATCTAACTAAAACGTCTTCATATTTATAGTCACATAGGCCAAAAATCTGGCGTAACATAAAGCTGAAAATTTCCTTTGAATTCTTTAAAGTTTGGTAGAATCAGTGGAAGTAATGGAATTCCAAGTAACATACTCCAATTTAGACCGAATTAGACTATTGTACAAAACCAATCGCAATGAATATAATGAAACTGCCAGTAAAAGTAACTCTATATTGTCGTAGAAGAAACTACGAAAGTATCGTTATCCTAGGCGTTTAACGCCATCAGGAGGCTTGGTCCACAGCATAATTTCTATCTTTCCAAACCCTCTGTTATAAATTTGACAAGACTCCTTAAAAACTGACTGGTGTTTTATGATACAACAGAATAAATCGATGTAGTCTTCTATTTACAGTTCATAACACTGAACCATCCTACCTGTCTGAAAAGTACGGTTTTATAAATAAAGTGACGTAAAATAAACAATCAAGCCATATACAATTCTCATCTGTTAGCACCACTTACTACTCCTTTGACGGGGAAAAGGGTAAAATGTGTGTTCGAAAAGGCATTAAGGAAAATACGGTCCAAAGATATGTAAATACAACTATAATTTAAAAATTTGTAATACGTGGTAATACTTTATAAACTTAATTTTAACAAGCAAATATCAAAGAGGATTATAGCGGCTGCTGTACGAGTTAATTATGAATTAATAAGGAAAAAGAAAAGAGCAAATTTATATTACGAATGCTTTGAACCGAATTTTTTTGTAATATCACAGTAATTATTACAACTGAATGAAACAGGAACAGGTCTAAAAGCTTAAAATGCTTGAAAATTTTGTTACCTCTTACCTTCAACTAGAGTGCCGTTAAAAACACCCTTCTGACGTAACGAGTAGAACCCAGGGCGACAGACGCAGTGGTACCCACCTTGTACCCAGCCCAGCCCGGGGCGGAATTCACACTGCAAGAACAAGAACGGAACAAAACCCTACCTAGTGCGTTCTTTGGGGTTCCGTCACATTTCGTGGCTTTGTTGAATATAAACTTGTAATTGCTTAGGCCTATGCACAAAACACCGAATAAACTAAAATACTTGGCAATTAAAGTAATTCATAAATTAACTTATAGAATTAAAATCTACAATAAAGTTAAAAATATATGAGGGCCAGCAGTGAAAGAAAGTTGAAAGAACTTTATATAAAATTGTCACTTTCTTATTATTAACAGAATTAATTAATAGATATTATACTATTTTATTATTATTATTATTATTCCATCTATTCACCACTTTATAGAATAATAGATATTTACTTCTGTGTACCCGAGACAAACCTTGTCCCTGAGGTAAATAATGCAGCAGCTATCTCCGAAATACATTTTGTTTCTAATACGTGCTACATGTATTATATATTTATTGTGAGGCATGACTATACTATATATTTTAAATCAGCGTCTTTCGAATGATGTATGATGTTCATAGAACAGCGGTTTTCTGAAGTTCCCTAATGTCGTGTTGGTCCGGGATGTTGGCCAAATATTTTTGAGTGACGGAGACAGTTCCAATTCCTCCTGTAATTATTGGAATTACTTTTGATTTCACTTTCCACATTACTATTATTATTTCCTGTCTGTAATTGCCATTGTTTGGCTACTGTCAGGCGCTTAATTAAATTAAAAGTGTAGATGTTAACGTGATATGTTTTAGTCTAAAATAACCTACATTATTAGTGAATACTAATCTCCGCTCTATGGAAATAGATATTTGCTATCCGCTGGATAGCTACTTCCTTTTGTATGTCATCTTCCTTGTTCGTTTCTTTCGTGTCTTATTCTGCGTGGTTTTCCAAATCGTAATTAAAACAAGCGGCAGAACTCGGTCAAGAATCGATCCATGGCAAAGTCTGTCGTCTCAGAACACAAAAGAGGCGGACATAAACATTCGTTCTTGAAGTGGGAGTCGAGCAGGAGGTTCGAGCGTTTAACTTCCGTAAACCATGAGCGTATAAAACCCTGTAGCCAACAGGATCGGCCGATTTTTCATATTATTAAATTATTTACCTTATAAGTTAACTGATTACTATACTGATTTAGTAATGACTGGTGTGTTATGGCAAGTGACCTAATTTTTTAATTAATTCCATTGGAAATCAGAAATCAGTGTTCACCTACCTGAGTGGTGTCATTGTGGCACTTGTGGGTACCCCTGAGTGCATGAATCTGATTGGAGAGAGTTGGACCGGAACTTACATCACACTGGTTCACCTCCAGGCCAGAAACGTCAATGTCCATGCTCAAGAAACCCTTCACCCTGAAAAACAGCAAATTGTTTTCTTTACATTCAAAGAAACGTTTTCTGATAGTAAGGTTAAAATTCAGTTCGTTAAGGAGAAAGGCTTCTAACTCAACTTGAAAGGCGCTTGTTTCTTTCTTGAGTTATCTTAACAACTGACAATCTGGGCTCTACAGGCTTACTTGTACTATCGAATGATAGATCGATTACAAATGAGGTGAGAAGGATGTTGAAGGAAACCAGCATGACCTGTATTAAGGTCATATGCCAGTATTTGTTTGGTTGAACTAACAATAATTATTATAAAAACAATAAATACGTGACGAGATTTGAACTAGGAATCTCCCGAATTGGAAGAAGCCCGGACCCAATCAAAGGGGCAGCCTATCTTCCTAAAAGTACTTCTTCGACGTTTTACTCAGGCAATAGTAGGATAGGCCACTATTACTTTCGTCTATGACGCGACTTCATACAGGCAAAATACAGGCTCCTGCCTGCTTGTAGAGAGTTTCTTAACGTGAGATAAACTTAGAAGATCAAAAGAGACTAAATATGCAAGGAAAGAGTTCCGAAAATTACTGTTAAAAGTTAATAATTGTAATAAGTTCATACAAATCCATGTTTCACCTCCAACTGAATTTCGATTAAATGTGGTGGTACTGGAAATGAAAAGAACGAAACTTTATTAAATGAATTTCATTTCTGTCTGCATCAGACGCCTATCAACAGGTGGCACAGTTATGATTCCATCGTGTTCGTCTCCTGTAACTGGTCACGTCCTGATGATGAAGAACGTGAATGTTATGGCCCCATGGGATTGTTTTCCAAGGTCTGAGTAAACTGATTAGCTTCGGTGTAAAGAAAACTAATTCCTCATTTCCATTACGTTCTCACACGGACTACATGACGCGACATCCCAGAACATCTTATTCGTCGTCGCGAGAACTTGAAATCATAGGTTGCCTTACATTTTCCGTGGTTATTCTCCAACGTCAGGGAGATCTGATGAACTGAAAGTCTTGGAAGATCTTGCAAAAAGAACTTACACACATCAGGCGTAAATATTGGTTTTCTGAAATAGTCTGTCAGAGTGCATGTGAAGTACTTCCCTTCAAAGAACGATCTATTCTTCAAGATGAACTTTTGCAGATATTATGTTTTCCGACTGATCCAGACCTACTGGGTCAAAGGAGAGCTAAATCAGGCTAACGAAGCTGGTGGGATCAAAGGAATGCGAAAAAGAGACTCTGGTGAAACCTAAATATTTCACATGATCGATATATCTATCATCTCTGGTAGTGTCTACCACAGACACTGAATGAGAGATAAAGGAAAATTTATGAAACAGTTCCGGTCGAAAAATATGTATTTTGTAATATCTCAGTTCGGAAAATTTGAGAGTTAAAATGTGTAGCTCCTTCAATGTCAGTATTAATAGGATGTTTATTAGACCTGAAATTAAAGCAATGAATACCAAAGCGTCTTCATGGTAATGACTTGATGGAAATTTTAACCTAACGCTTCCACAATAGTTAACCACAGCAGCGTCATCGAACTGGCGGCCCATGGGTCACATCCAGCCAGAGACCATACGTAACCAGAACCGCGAAATTATTTCTTCACGAAAAACTCACTTTTTCTTTTTTTTCCGAAGGATTTCAGGAACATCATGATTCTTATCTCGTTTGCTTCTTTACGTAGAAGTGCCACATAAGGTAATTGCTTTAAATTCCTACAGTAAAATATGTTTTCCAGGTAAAAATTGTGTCAGATACAAACTGTTGCAGGATTAAATACATTTTCGGTTAACGTTATAGCAATAATATAATACAATTTATATTTAAGTGTCTACCATGGTAATTTATCATTTAAAATTTGTTAAAGAGAACGAATATTAGCTTATAGCTTTCGAAACTAGTACCAAGAGGTGGTTCTTCACGCCTAGCGCTCGAAGGGAAAAAACTGTTCTCGAACAGAGGGAGTAAAACGTTTAACAACCCTGAACCGGAAAATAATTCATGTTTCTCGCCGATTTGTCAAATCTATAACTACTACTAACTTCTACAAGGGCGGGTCTGATAAATATGATAGGGCAAAATCGCCAATGGCGCTTGATCAGGTATCGTTGCACTTACATCGAATCTGAGTATATGCGTTAATCAACCAATCAAAAAACCGGGTTCAAACATCTGACGATCGGCGATCCTGAGGTTTCTTCTGGCAGGCCTCGGTCTCTCGCCAGAATCGTGCCTCAAATTCGTCCACGACCGCTTCCTTGCATAACTTCTTTTTAATCGTTTTACGTTTCCATAATCTGATCTACTCACCCGTGCTTGGTAGGTGGCGGAATTGACACGCTGTAGGAGAGTAGCCAACGTCGGACGGTGCAGGAGTAGTACGGAAAGGTCCACCAACCCCGGTACGACATGTTGGTGGGGCTCGGCATGAACTTGGGAGACCACAGACCCGGACTTGTGTCGGCATTCTCGTACCACGGGTACTTGGGGTCGGGACGAAATCCCGTGCGGAGCCCACTCTCCTGCACGTAGTGGGGGCCACCTAGCTCGAAGAGGGGTGAGTGGTCCAGTCCCCCGGCCATGAGAGTTGGTGCCAACGGAGACTGGCGTTGCCAGGACACCGAGTTGATTATCGTGCTGGAAGAAGCGTTGAGGGCGAGCACTCGAGCCGTCAACACGTGGCGATCGGACACCAGGAGGCTGCGGGCGAGTGCGTCCAGCAAGCCTGCAACACAGGAAGGTGAACGTTATCTGCCGGACACGAACTTACCAACTACAGATAAGAAAGTTGTGCTTTGAATTCTGTAACTGGGTGTACCGACGTCCGATCCCGGCACGGGAAGGTGATTTTTCCTTCAGCGGGGGGGGGGGCAAAGCGCGAAACGGGGAGCGACGTCAGCAGAAATAACATTTTAAAATGTTATTCAGATTAGCTTCATATTTCTTTTCTTGTCTCGTTTGAATCTAGATAAAAAAAAACTGTCGAGAAAATTATAATTCACGCATTAGGACTTTATTCCTGTGCTGCTTAATAAACATCCTGTTTTTTATAATTGTACTTCTACGAGACTGCACGGCGCTACACCCCTATAAGAGAGTCATTGGAGTAGGCAGACACGTCCAAATATCTGTTGCCTTGTACACATACAGTCCTTGCCTACACACATCCTGTCCGATTTATCCAATCACATCAGAACCCTGATGATGGGGACAGAGTTGGTTCCCGAAACGTCGGTTTACCACGGTAACCAGTTGATGCGGCTGATTGCCCGAGAAGATTTTATTGAAGATATATTTTATTCATATAACATCATAACGTATTCCTACCTATTGTAGAATATGTAGGTACATATTTAATAACTTTCGCACACTTATTTGTGAAATTCATTCGATAATTTTACTTCTATCGCATACCGTTATGTAGTCACGCGTATCTTAACTCATGGTTATTAATTCGCCCTCGACAGAAGACTACGTTTATAAGCAATGCCATAAACAATTGCTTAACAGCAAAACTGTATTTCTGTAAGTCGAAATTCAGATTCCTATATGTATGAATTTCATGAAATAAACGCATAACGGAGCAGCCATACCTCTTTATTCGTTAACGTGGATGTTCTCTGGAAATATTCAAGTGGTACCGACTGACAGTTTGCACTCATAGTTTTTGGCTGAATTTTATTGTGATTTTTCCAACGCAAATTTTTCACAGAACTCAAATTATATGCTCTTTATTCACAATAACTAAACAGTATGGTCAATTACGTACGCGAAATTGCAACACATTTACAAAATATCTTCCAACAATTGCACATGTACTATTTTTGAGAAAGAAATATGCTTTGTGCCGGATATCATGAGACACACTCATTTAACGGAATATCTACTGGTAAATGCTAAAGTTCATATCCTTCCATCTAGTATAAGAACAATGCTTGGAACCCCTACAGTTCGTAAGCCGGGACAGCATTCGCTTATATTTAGCTTCGATGTACAGGTTCATATCTTCGCATTTAACAAATGACCTACGCTTTTGTGCGATGTCATAGACTTTCCTCGATAACAAAAGTAGTTCTTTAACAACAAAAGTAAGCTTTTATGTCTCATATCATTAAGACATGCTCTTTAACAGAATAAATATACAGTAGCCTACTTTGTTTTGTTTTTTTCCCTTCCAAATTCCTATGATTCTCATTCATTCGAGAATTCCTTTTGTGATACAGGACATGTCTGAATGTACTGCGTTGCGTACCGCTGTGGTGGGAGACACCCAGGTCCTGCAGGAGCATGGCGGCCATGTCAGCCTTCTGCTGTACGCCCTCATACTGTGATGTGACAAGGGACACCTTTAGCGAGCGGTAAGGCTCAGTGACACACAGCGAACCCATGTTCTCCGTGGCTACGTCATGAATCACCTGCAGCGCCTTCTCTCTATCCTGAAAACAACAAAATACTTATAGGGTGCAATTTGACTAGAAAGGTGTACTCCATTTCTAAGTATCCGAATTTTATTCGGAAAATCCGAATGGAAGACGCAGGGTCGATGGACATTTGTAGTAAAACAACAAAGAAATACGGCCAGAGAGTGTGTGGATTGGATTCATGCGATTAAGGACATGGCCCAGTTTCGGGTTTAGAGACAAAGCGTCCATGTTAACCATATTAGTCAGTTAACACCTCGAAAGAAAGTAAGACTTATTCTGTCTTACTTTCGTGGTTCAGTGAACTCCACATAGTATAGAAGAAGCGACCAGACAAATGCATTGTCACTTAGCTGGAAAAGATAAAAGGTCAACCTCTGGTGAACGCCCAATGCGTACAGTACCTAACCTGGTAGCTAATAACCCAGAATTATGTAGATTACCAAATGAATTTCTGATGAGCCACATGTAGAACCAATTCGTTCACTTATGATAACCCGAAAACTGGAGAATCTTTACAGAATGGAGACGAAGTTTCTTGTGTATGAAGAATGGTGCCTTGTATTTGTGACTGGGGAGGCCATTAGCGTTCCAATCATTCTAATACTCCCACCTACAGCCTGTTTGCGAGGGGTAACTTACCGCCACAAGAAAGTAACAGAATTACGTAACTTTGCTAAAATCATTACAATATGCAAATAAGAAAGCAAGAGGAACTGGTCGCTAATAGCTGAGGCAGAATAAGGAAGAGCATACGAACAAGCTAGCGGGTTTCCCCACGACTTCTGATCGTCACAACAAATTTTCTATCTCAATCACTGGCTTATTTATGTTTTTAATCTTACAACTTTTCACAGATTTGAATTCAAATTAATGAAATGACAGAATAATTATATTTTAAATATTTGTATACAATAAACAACACGTATTCTAAAAATGGTCCACAAGCTACCCGAAAAGAATTAACATATTTCACGTATATTTCACGTGCCAAAGCGAGACAGGGACATACATATTCCTAGTCTGTGATACTGAATTACGGAATATTATAAATAAATGTTAATTGGGAACTTGTGTTTAATCAGAGACAAAGCCTTGAATGGTATGTTAGGTGTTATATCATACGGAAAGTAGTAGCACGTCATAAAATATTTCTAGAAACTTCGTTCTTCATCATTACTGGGTCATTAATCATCAGGTACACGAGCCCAAACTCTGAATTACTTTTCTAGCACAAACCAAAGTTTTTCGTGTCCCAACCTCCGGTTTGATTCGCGGTTCTTTCACGTCAGTCTGATCATTAGGCCTTCCATGAACGCCTGAAATATCTTAAGGGTAGATCGTATCCACCTGTCTGTCTATTCACGTCTCAACCCACTTACTTCACAGCCGTCCAATCGCTGCCCGCATGCCAGTTTAGAATAATGTGCACGATACAAAGAAACTGTAACGAACTGAGCGACGTGTTTATTATTTATATAAGAAAACGAGTTTCCCTCTGAGAGTGAATGCAATTTTACAAATCAGCCTTTTCATCGCCTACGAAAAAGCGAGCAAAATACGTATTTGAAAAGAAATAGCAGTTCTGATGAAGAGATACGAAAAGACGGTAACCAATTTAGTTTCATTCCTTAGAATGAGTATAAAATTTGGCAATGGAAACCACTAGTGGCTTGCTAAATTTTCTAAACGAATTATACTAGTCTATTACAAGTCCTTCTTTTAAACAAGGCATAAAGGAACAATCCGAATTTATTCAAATGAACACTAAAAATACGTATTTAAAACATGGTAAAATAAATTAAAGAGAAAATATTTTGTAATATGCATATTTGCCTCCTAAAATTATCTATCCAAGAAAGAATTTTATAGAATTTATGGATGGTATATGCTAATGGAAGATGTAAGAATGGATATTTTCACTAACCATCACAGTACTCTAAATCCAACAGATCAGATTTGTATGCAAGTTATACGTCTTAGTAATAGCTAACAATTTATACTGACACATGCACAAATGGGATTTAAAACTGCAATGTGTAACCTTACGCTCTCCTCGCAAACTTTCTGTCAGATCTGAAAACTCCCAGGAACCGCAATAAGTAATTGTTTCAAGTCACGATGGCTTTGGTGTCATATTATGGCTTCCTTGCAATTATTATTTATTTAATATGCTACAAATTTGGTGCAGAGAAAGATGGAAGTAAGAATGGTATAGATCCTATTTTGTTTTGAACCGTATCGCCCCTTCAGAAAAGTCAGAAGAGGGAGGTTCTAGTTCTTAGTGTCATTATTTCCCTTGCGATCCCCTCTTATGTACATTATATGTAAATAAACAATGTTATTCTCAAAGAAATACAAATACAAAATCTATTTATTTCAAAACAAATTGAACATAAATATACACTTATGGAATTTATATGCTAGCCCTTCAGCTTAAAACCACAATAACAAAGACGCAACAATATTTGCCTCAAACGATATCTTAACTTCTTGTATGAAATAAAAAAACACTTTATTTCTCTCGTTCAAAACAAAAAAAAAATCACTTTGCCTCAGTTTCTCCGCGAAATATAGGGCACTTGCCCTCCCCTGGCGAGCCTCGTACTCAGCCGCTAAATGTCTGGGAAATCACGGCAGTTCAGAAACAGCCAAGTACCTTACCCAAACGGTGGTCCGAGAGACAGTGAATCTTGTACAAGCGAGAATCAGGCAAAACATTGCAATCCCCCTCCAATCCTGCCCCCTCGCATTCCGCGCCGGCACAATCGATCGGGCCACTC